ATTTAATATTATTATATTTATAATTTAATATTTTATCTTAATGATTTGCTTGAAAAATTGATCGATCTTTAGCAAGAGGTGGACCTGTTTTAATTTTGAATATCACAGAAACAGTAAAAGGCCACCGCCTAGTTGTTAAAGTAGAATTATTTAGGATTATAACAACATAAATCAAGATCATTGGAGATGGATCCTTTATTTATAAAATATTTTATTTATAAAATCGATAAACTTTACATACTGATATGTTTATTTTTAGGTGAACGGAAAGGATATTTCAAACTCTAGTCACGAAGATGCAGTACGCTGTTTTCAATTGGCTCAAGAGCCAATTATTGTAGAGGTTCTTAGACGACAACCCAGTGGACATCAACAAGTGCCTCACCCGCCATTCAAAGTACATGAAAATATCACGCGTCAAGATAAGAATGAGACGACGAACGAAAGAAGTGTGACAAATAAACAAATATGTAACAATGTCGTCAACAAGGACAATATGACATGCAATTTGATATCTACTTCAGTTCAAACGGACTGGGCTGGACTCATAGAAGTAGAAGAGTTATTTCCGGTTCCTTTCGTCGTTGAAGAACAAGAAAACGATAATTTCGAGGATCTTCTTACTCACGACATCGATTTTGAGGTATTGTAATATTTAAAATTATTTAACAACCGAATTTAATTTTTTAAGATTATGAAAATATATGAACATTAATTAAAAATTTTATTTATCTCACTGTCAGTATAGTCAGTAATAAAATAACACTTTTATGGGACTTGAATAAACGAAGCGTCTTTCAATGGATTTTTGTTTGCTGAAAACAAATCCGATCACCTAATAATACATCAAGTTTCCGAAAAAATCATAATATAAAATGTGTTAAAATTGGCATTTTTGGCAATTTTTAACATTCTTTTACAGTCAAAGTAAATTTCTTTCGATATATTTCTGAAAAGATAAAACCTTTGATTTTTTTGTCGGTTGGTATATTACGTTATATTGGTGTGCTGATTACAAATATAATCATGAAAATTACTAAGTGACAAGGTCACTTTCAGAGTCAAATATAAAAAAGATATTTTTTTACATTTTTCATATTTAATCTTGAACATGATATTGCCACCAATTTTCATAGCCATTCTTTATCAGCACTAAAATACAGCAATATATCAATTGATATCAAAATCAGAAGTAACTCACTTCGTCTCCCAATCCCCCTCAAAAATAAAATCATTGGTAATTTTTTAGGTAAATATCGAAAAAAGGAGCAACCTTGATCTTGATGTTGTCAAGATCATTACTGTAAATGATTTCGGATTGGTAATCATTCTTCGTTTAAAAGTTACTAATAAAATAAATTTTTAAATAGCTCATTTCTACTATACGCTATAACACTAACAACTACTCTATACCTCTGCTTACGTAATAACTTTCCATACGAAGCATGGGAACGCACGACTTCCATGAGAAGCGACTTTTACTCTATCTTTCCCCCTCTTTAAAGGCACATGACTTCCATGCGAAGCGACTTTCTATGCGAAAAGACTTCCACTTTCTTATTTCTATTTTATATGAGGAGAGGAGAGGGATGGAATTCGCTTCGCATGAAAAGTTGTATTTCCTTAATCAATCTATCCTATACCTCTTTTTCTGCCTAGAATTATATGACTTTCCTCATTTAAAGCAGGAAATAAGAGGCTTCTACCATTATAATAAACAAGCTTTAAAGATTAAACATTAATCCTTTGTTATTCTTTTTCTATTATTTCACGAAATATTTCTTAGTCTTCTTCAGTCGTGTTTAAAAATAAATAAAAACTCTTAACAATAATTATAAGAACATATTAAAACCTGATAAATTAATTTCGGTAACGGTATATAAAAGTATTAATCGGATCAATTCATCTACAATCACAATATGCATTACTAACTCAACCATGTTATACTGAGTCTAAATTCTAAAACGTATATAACGTATAAACATGTACTAGCACCACATTAGATGTGGATAAAATCTGAGGTCTCAAAATTATCACGCATAAGCGAACATTCGCGAGAACTACATGAGAAATAAAATCTATCGCCGGTATGCAATGAATTTAAATAAAGAAATGACGTTATTAGAGTCGATTACCTTGATGCGAATCGGAGCGGATCTCTAGCACAGATTACAGTTATTTGGCAATCAACTATTCGGATTATAATTATTCGGAGTCGCAACAAAAAGTCTCGATTGGTCAATATCCAAATGAAATATAAAGTAATTCGACTGTGGTAAGAGGGCAAGCGCCAGTCGTATAATTAATATTTCCTTAGAAAAAAAGGGCGAATGACACGTGGCTCGTAACTCGCTAACTTACATGACAGCCATTAAATCGATTGCTCGAAATCTCAGAAACCTTAATGCATGATCTATCTGACGCCAAGAACTCGCAATCGGCGACAAGAATGGCAATGTTCGTCTCACCCAATGACTCCTTGTACCTTCCAATATCCTTGAAACGAATCTTAAGTTTTGCTCTCGATGGTAACTCTGGAATCATGCGCTCTCTCAATTTTCCTTGACTCGGCCAATACGAGTGCTGATCGGAATTTTTTAGTGGATTTATGCAAGCCGTTCAGCCCCCTTTTAATCGGGGGCCTTGTCACGCGCTGATTGACCCTTATTAGTCACGCGGCCTCATAAATCATACAAGTCCCCGCGGGCTGCAAATCCTTGCACTTCAAGGTGCGCAATATAATTTGAAGCTGGGCTCTTGTGTCGCCTGCAGCCTCTGAGTTATTCGAACTGGCTTGAAAAGTTCTGACAAGCTTCGCTATTGGCATCAAGGTATCTTTCTTCTTCTTAATCATCTACTCGTTTCGGGTGTAGTCACATCGTGGAGTTTGTATAAATTTCTTTTCTCTTCTCTTCCGATTCGCGGTCATTCTAACACACTGAGCGACAGACCCCTGTGTTGACCATGTGGTTCATGTATCTAGTTGGTGATCTTCCTCGACTATTGGAGCCTTCCACTCTACCTTTATTTATAGATTATTAGTTTCTCTGGCCGTCCTTACGGATTACATGCCCAAAAAAAAACTGATTCTCTCTGATACGAAGTATCAGCTATTTTTCTTCATGCTTTCCAGTTGTTCCAAAATTGATTGATTTAACCTTCTAGCAACCCATGATATGCGCAACATCCTTTTCTAACAATGCATCTCAAATACATCAATAGCACGATTAGCAGTTTCTTTTAGTTTCCAGCATTTAAATCCATATAGGAAGAAAAGACGAAGCTTCCTATCAGACGTATTTTGATTGATGTCGTCAAGGATTTTTTCCAGTTTTTGTTAATTTTGCCACTTGATGATGGCTATATTTTTTTTCATTTCCTCACTGCATCCACCGGTATTTGTGATTAGGGCTCCAAGATAAACATATTTCTGGACTATTTTATATTGTTTATCTGTTTAATTTCTATATACAGTTGTTATTGGGTTTGTCCACGATCATTTTTATTTTACTCTTGTTGAGACTTGCCTGTTCAACTCTATGCAGCAATGTTACTAGTTCTTCCGCACCGGCAAAGAGGATAGTGTCATCAGCATACCTCAAGTTGTTCATCTTTATGCCATATAGATATACCGTCATTTCATCCTTCTTGCCTTCCTTATGATGCATTCGCCGTAGGTGTTGAAGGAAATGGGAATAAACACGCATCCTCTTAACCTTTGCCAACATGGAAACAATCTGTCAGTTGTCCATTCAATTGCCATTGCTTTATACAACGATGTTGTTCTCGTAGAAATTCTTTATTAGAGTAAAGTGTAATGGAATTCCCACTTCGGAGAGATACTGCCACATTCTTTCCCATTGTACGCAATCAAAAGCCTGTTGTAGTCTATAAAGCATATACATATATCAATGTATAAAAAGGTAAAGAAGCCGATGTTCGTGCTGTACTATTTGTACTATAATATTTATGTAATAATATTATCATAAAATAACAATGAAACAACACACATACATACATACATTTACATACATACATTTCGATCTTTTTATCAGGTCATCTTCAATGCGATAAAAATTTAACGCAGATTTTACATATCAATATCTTCTTAAACTTGACTTCATATCAAGATTGTTTCGCAGATTGAAATGATCATAATTCCTTGTGGAGAATGTGTGTGTGTGTGTGTGTGTGTGTGTGTGTGTGTGTGTGTGTGTGTGTGTGTGTGTGTGTGTGTGTGT